AGTTCACTCCATCCTTACAACTTGGCTTTGAGGTATGTGTTATTATTATCACCACTGTTTTCTGGAGAAAGAAACAGTCATATAGGGTTAACCCCCACCACAAGTGGTGATGCTGTAACTGGGGCCCAGGTCTGTGACTCTAGAAAGTGGGCTTGTACTTCTTCCAAGTACAGCTCTTCTTCTCCCAAGGGTCAGACGTCCCTTCTGAGAAACCTGGCCTGTCAGCTCACTGTGGCCATGAGCCCAGATGCCATCAGATCACACAGATACCAAGGACAACAGAATCCTCTCAGGGAAGTAATGATCACACCGTATCAAACTGCCAACTTAGATCATCAGTTCAACAGCACTGACTGCATGCAGATGTATTCTGGCCTTGGTGTCGCACCAGGAGCCCCAGACAATCCACTGGGGAAGACAGACACACACACATAAATCATTTCAGCATTACAGGGCCAATGATAAGCAAAGTGCACATGGGTTGCTATGGGAATATAGGGTACTCACAGAGTATGAGCAGGTCCTAGCCACCAGGAGGCTGTTGAGATTCTTCTTTCTAAAATAAGCTTTTTTATTTCTTACAAAATGTATTTATTTGAAAGGCAGAGTTACAGAAAGAGAGAGATCCTTCATCTGCTGGTTTATTCCCCAGTTGGCCACATGACTACAGCTGGACTTATTCCAAACCAGAGACCAGGAGCCATGAGCTTTTTTCAGGTCCCCCACGTGGGTGCAGGGGCCCAGGGACTTAGGACATCTTCCATTTTCCCAGGTGCATTAGCAGGAAGCTGATCAGAAGTGGGGCAGCTGGGGCCTAGCAGTGGCTCAGTGGCTAAATTCTTGCCTTGCAAGTGTTAGGACCCCATTTGGGTGCCCTGGTTCATGTCCCGGCTGCTTTACTTCCTACCCAGCTCCCTGCTTGTCACCTGGGAAAGCAGTAGAGGATGACCCAAAGCCTTGGAGCCCTACACCTATGTGAGAGATCCAGAGGAAGTTCCTGGCTTCAGACCAGCTCAGCTTTGGCTGTTGCAGCTACTTGGGGACTGAGCCAGCAGACAGAAGATTTTTCTGTCCATCCTTCTCTCTATAAATCTGACCTTACAATAAAAAATCTTGGAAAAAAAAATAGTGGAGCAGCCAGAACTCAAACCAGTACCCATAATGGATGCCAGCACCATGGGTAGAGGCTTTACCTGCTATACCACAGCGCTGGTCCCTGGGATTATAAAGCATAACAATGCAGGATAGAAAGAGAAGGAAGGAAGGTTGGGGATTAGCAGCAGGGAAACATGAATGAACATGGCTTGAGCGGACATCTATAAAGAACTTGGTAACTTTGGGATGCAAAGGAGGAGGGAGAGAGGACTACAGAGGTGGCCAGGGATCAGGTTAGGAAGGGCCCTGAAGTGTCCTGTGCGAGGATTTGGCCTTGACCCAGACAACAGTGGAAAGCTGACGAGGATTTTAAGCAGGGAGGTATCCTGGACCAAGCTGTGTTTTAGAAAGCTCAATGGCAATGCAATGGGTTAAATGCCACCTGCAATGTGGGCATCCTATATGGGTACTGGTTTGAGTCCTGGCTGCTCCGTTTCCTATCTAGTTCCCTGCCTGTTTACCTGGGAAAACAGTGGAGAGGATGGCTTACATGCTGGAGCCCCCTCCCCGCCATGTGGTAGACTGGGATGCAGTTCGTGGCTCGTGGTTTTGACTTGGCCATTGAGACCATTAAGGAACTGACCAATGGATAGAAGACACCTCTCTCTGCCTCCCTCTAACTCTGCCTTTCAAATGCATACATTCTGAGGGGGAGGAAATAAAGAAAATCTCCTGGCAGCAGTGGGCAGCATAAATGGAGGGAGAATGCTACAGGCTGTTCTTTCTACCTCTTCATGCACGGCCTTGGATTTTATCCCACAGACAAAGTGGTTTAGTAAACATGTATGTTTAATAGCAATGACGCCTCCAGAGATGACTGGAGAGAACACATGCTTTCATCAGCGGCCTTCACAGCAATGCTTCCTCTTCCACCTGGAAATAGAACCTTTTCTTTTATAATTAAGCCCAAGTCATGTAGGGGAAGCAGTTGCCTGCTGGAAAGAGTTCTGGGTGGCTGCTTCCCTGGGGATCAGATGTGCAGCACAGGGGATGGGAGCCCCAGGCCATACTGCAGAAGCTCTCACACGCCCATTTTCACAACAGGATGCCCCAACATTGACGAAGGAAGGGCCTGCGGCTTCCTAATTTCCCTGTGTTGTTTGTGAACTGGCATTTCCAGAGATTCCTTCTGCAACCTGTCCCTTCTGGGAGGATCTTTTGGAGGAACTGGGAATCAGAACCTGCTCTTGGTTGGTTAAAGAGCAGGGTGGACCCAGGGGGGCAGCTGGACCTCCACATTTGGAAGGACCGGCTGTTCCAGGATCTCACCCCCGCTAACCCAAAGCCGAGGGAACTAGTGGGGGTCAGATACCCCAGTGATCTCCCATGGGGACACGGAATTCATCTGCTGTGGAAGGATCCTGAGGAGAATCTGACTCCTGAGGTGTCTCCCACGGGGTCCTCTGAGAAAGGTCCCTGACTGTTAAGTGGGCAGGAGGTGGGGGTGGGTCGGGCGCCTCTCACCTTTGCGGGCCTTGTCTCCTGGGATGTTCTGGGCCCGCAGCCTCTGGTCCAAGATGTAAAGCATCTCCCCGCCCAAATTCAAGAAGAGCAGTGGCAGCGTCCGCACCGACATGGTGCTAGAGACTGGGCAGGACTGGTGAGGCGTCCACAGTCTAGCGAACCCACAGGCCTGGCCGCGCGTCCCCGGGGCCAGGTTGTTAGGGCAACGCCGCGGACAGGGAAAGCGAACCAATCAGGAGGCCGTTTGGTGGGAGGTGCCCTGAAGGCAAGCGTTCACTGGGCTGAGTGGCAAGGGACCGGTCCAGGGATTGGTCCGAGGCGGAAGGGGCGTATCCTCCGGGCTGCGCGGGCCCGGAGTGTTATCGGCCGGCCAAGCTGACATCGGACGTCTGGAGTCGCGGCCAGTCGGTCCGGGCGGCAAGAATCCTGCCTCGCTGTGATGACTTTGGGCAGAGCTTTTTGGGCTCTCTCAGCACCTCCCAGGGCTGCTGAGAGAAATCAGGGAAATCGTGGAAAACTCCAGGGACGTGCCTAAGGTGGTGGCGGACTCCCCTCTCAGATTCCCTGGAGATGCTTGCACTGCCTCCTAGTGTTCTGGGAGCCCTACCAGGTTCCAGGCTTGCAACCCTCTTTGCCCCTGAGGGCTGTAACCACTTCCCCACTTCTCTGGCCTTCTCAGCCAGTCCTGATCCTGATCCTGCGGGATCCCAAAGTCTGCTCTAGCCTCACGCCTGGCCCTCACCCTGTGTACTCCTGCTGACTCAGCTGTGCCCACAGGTTAGGGTCCCCAAACCGTGATACCCTCCCTCCCAGTATGCACTCCCCTCTGGGACAGTTGCACCCACATTCTCGGTTTCAGTCACCCTAACAACTCCCAACCCCCCTGTAGCACAGACCTCTCCAACCACTCTTGGGAGAGCACTCTAAGGGCGGCAGGCCATGCTTTTATCAGGAGGCACAAGGTCTCCGGCCTCTGGCACTGAATGTGCAAACCCGCCCCTCACACCATGCTACAGTGTTCCGGGGTGGGGCTTGCTGGAAGGGCTTGTGAGGGTCCCAGAGTGATGCCCTCCTGAGAGGGTCAGTAACCACACGAGGAAGAAACGGAGATTTGCCCCGCAAGGAGGCCCGCATGAAGACACCGAGGGGGCTTCCTGCAAGCCAGGGAAGCATCCCTCAGCAGAAAGGGAACTGGCCAGCAGCTCCATCCTGGCCTTTACTGTCTCTGGAACTGAGGGAACACATTTCCCTTGCCTAAGTCACCGGGTCTCCTGAGCAGCCAGCCCATCTGCCCAGAAAATTCCGTCTAGTGATCTAGTACCTGCTTACCCGCTCCGCCCCCCGCCCCCTGAGCTTCTCTGCCTACATCCTACTTGGCTCAGCTGCCAGCACAACTGTTCTGGGTTCTTCAAACAAACCAAGCCTGCTCCAGCTGGAGGCCTTGGCACCTCATTTGGAGTCAGTGGGAGGGTTTTAGGGGGTGGAGGTATAGGGGAGGGAAGAGATGAGCCACAATCCCCCAGGATTTATAAGTGATGTTTTGTGTATGTAGTTTCCTGGGTTAGAACTTGTAGTTTTGTTTTTTTTTTTCTAATTAAGATTCTCAGTCTTCACCCCAACTTGCTGCTCTGTCCCCAGCCCTCATCTACCCTCACTCAGCTGTCACTTACCTATCCAAAACAGACCCACTGTTGTCATCACTGCTTGGGTTTGGGGCCATTAAGTGGCTCCCACTCCCTAGGGGGTGGTGTGCAGCTTTCTCTGCCCGGGGTGCAGAGCCTCCTGATCCCACTTCAGCTTGCCTGCCAAGCTTTTCTTCTGTGTTTCTATTTATTATTTACTTGAGAGGTTCAGGGACAGAGAGATCTCATCCACCCATCAGTCCCCCAAATGCCTGCCACAAACAGCTAGGCTGGGCTAGGGCTGGAGTTGGTCATGCTGTCCACGTGCCCTTAGGCATGGGGGCGTTCCAACGTGGGACGTGCTGTTCGGCCCACTAAGCTAGACGCCTATTCCCTCAAGCTGCATCTCTGATTCTTGCTGCTCTGTGAACACAGCCAACAAGTGCGGCCTCCTCCTCCAGATGCCTGGGAAACCCTCCCTCTCTCCACCTCCTCCTCTTCTGGGGCCCAGTCCTGAAGGCAGCCTCTCCAGCCGGCCTTCCCACTCAGCCAGCCCTCCTCCCACGCTGCTGTCACATACTCAGTCTCACTTCCCCTCAAACACTTGCCACCTGAATGGCAGGTGGTTGTTTCTAGGAATGAGGCCTCTGGTAGGTGAAGGTTGCCCCGGGATCCCAGAGCTGACTGAAAACACGAATCCCTCCTCCTTAGGCTAGAAGGAGCCTCATCTTTCTTCTGTTTATTTCCCAAGGCGCAGAGGAAGATCTGAACAGACTTTATTGCTTCTCTTGGCGCTGTTTCAGGTCAGGATGTGGAAGGGCTCTCTGGGTTTTCCTGCTCTCGCTGTTTTTGGGCTGCGGCTGCTGCTGCCTGCAAGGCTTGTTTTTGCTTCTTTAGCTTCTGCACCTGCTGGAAAACCTGGGGGGCAATGGGAGCAGAAGAGTGTAAGCAACAGACCTGCCCTGGACCAGAAGGGGTGGCACTCTCTCCTTCTCGGGGAACAGTGGCCTGCAACCTCCCAAGCCCTGGCCCAGGCCCTAGGCCAGTTCTATCAGAAACAGATGACGCCCCTACCCCTCCACCCCGTCCTTCCCAGGGCCAGGGGGAGGCCAGCTGCAGTGAGCAGCACTTGGCCATGTACCTGGATGCACAGGGCCTTCTTGGCGAGGAAGCGGCGGTGGGCCTTTCGGTAGTAGAGTGGCGGGAAGGTGTACTCAATCCCTAGCTCCCTGCAGGTCTTCTCAAAGACTTCGTAGTTGGTGTTGCGGAGTTGCTTGAGCATCTTCTTCCTCTGGTCAATGCTCATCAGCAGGTAGCGCTTGTGAGCTTTGTCCTGTAAGAGAGTCTACGTTACTTTCAGTATTAAGTAAGAGTGACTGTAGTTCTCAGGAACAAAAGATGGTCATTTTGTCATTTCACTCGCATTTTCCAACAACCTTAGACAAATTCTAGTGTAACTTGGAGGGAGGTTTCACCATGGTTATTCCTATTTTACAGATGTGAAAACAAAGGCTCAAAGATAGTATGGGGTGGGCATTTAGCCTAGTGATTCAGAGATGCCTTGGTTCAATTCCCAGCTCTGGCTGCTGGCTCCAGCTTCCTGCTAACAGAGACCCTGGGAGGCAGCAGAGATGGCTTAAGGAATTGGGTTCCTGCCACCCATGTGGGTCACCTGGATTGAGTTTCCGGTTCTGTCCCTGGCTGTGGAGCTAACCAGTGGCTGGAAGCTCTGTCTGTCTCTCAAATAAAAAAAGCTATTAAGATACACAAAGGGTCCAGAGAAGTGTAGGTGCTGATGCTGGGTCTTTTTTTTTTTTTTAAGATTTATTTATTTTTATTGCAAAGTCAGATATACAGAGGGGAGGAGAGACAGAGAGGAAGATCTTCTGTCCAATGATTCACTCCCCAAGTGACTGCAATGGCCAGTACTGCACCGATTCAAAGCCAGGAGCCAGGAATCTCCTCCAGATCTCCCACGTGGGTGCAGGGTCCCAAGGCTTTGGGCCGTCCTTGGTTTTCCCAGGCCACAAGCAGGGAGCTGGATGGGAAGTGGAGTTGCCGGGACTAAAACCGGCACCCATATGGGATCCTGGCACGTTCAAGGTGAGGATTGTAGCTGCTAGGCCACTGCGCCAGGCCCTGATGTTGGGTCTTGAGTCTGATTTTAAAGTATGGGCTCTTTCCCCTGTACCATGATAGCCCAGCAAACGGTCTGCTGGAGTGGAGAGGTGGGTAGGTCATGTGTTTTTCTGGAAGACTCTTACCCACAGCTGTGTTTGAGGGACCTCCATATCCTGAGTGGACAAAACTGTGCTCTTCCACGGGCAGGTTCAGCAAGTTGTGGTGAACAACTGAGGGGCCAGGCATGCAGGGTGCCGACCAGTCTCTGTCCATGGCCACATGTTTATTAAAAATGCCATCATTGTAGCTGAGATAACAAATATCAGCCCCAGAGCGAGATTGCTTTGTTTTAAGTCTTCTCACATCATTTCCTAGTGACGTGCCTTAAGGTACAACTGAGTCACTTATGACTCAATCATTACTTGGAAAACAGGGAAGGAAGGGGGTATCTCAAGTGCGCAAGCATGGCGTCTAAACACTTCATGTACCTCACGCTGGCTGTTAGGAGTTCATGTGATCCACCCAGGTGTCCCATCTTACAGGCCACAGCACTGAGGCTCAGCCCTGTTAGCTTCCCTCGAGTCACACAGCGGATGGGGTGGAAGTTGCAGAACTGGGATGTGACTCTATTCCCACACTTCCTCGTGGGACCCCCACTGTGTGCCAGCCATGTCAACTGCTCTCAGGCACAGGGACATGCAGCACAGCGCTGCAAGGTTCCCCTCCTCCTGTGGCGGCAGTATTCTCCCCACCTGCATAGAGACACCTGCTGCTGCAGCCCTCAGCTGTGCCTTGCGGCTTCTCTGCATCCAGAGCCCTTGACCTCCTGGGTGCCTCTCCCGAGCCAGGCTGCTACTGCTGCAGTGATGCCAAGGGGTTTACCTTTCGATGTTTCTGCAGGTGTTCTTCATAATTGCAGATCTTGACAGTTAAGGCAACAACTGAAACCACAAACCACAGAGGATGAGAACTGGCGACAGAGGAAGGACGGGCCTAGACCTGGGGTGTGTCTTAGGAACTCAAAGAATAACAGCTCTTTACAAATCAACATACTCAGAACTGCAAGATCATAGAAGACTTGGGGTTATCCTCATTTTTACAAAGTAAAGTGTAAGAAAGGGAAGTCCCTTGTTTGTAAAGTGGGGTGTGTGTGTGGGGGGACTTTTTCCTGCCAAAAGCTATTCGGATATTTATAATATCATTTGCGGCCTTTATAAAACGATCAACTAAAATATTAGCCTACTTCGGATTTACTGGATTTACTGCCTTGGCAGGGCCAGACCAAATATTCCTTTATAAGCCCTGCAGGCCAGATGGTCCCCAGTCCTGTTATAAAGGGATCATCAGAAAACCATAGCAAACAGCAGTCTTCACAGTGTAAATGTAGAGCATTCCTCTTACATTCAGGATTCAGGATTCAGATGGGGATGCACGCTGTCAATGTTCACTATTCAACATTCCACGTGAGGGTCTAGCTGGTGAAGTAAGACAAGATGCCTAAACCGTCCAGAATCCCTTTGGGATATCTGCTGGTCCCTTTTCAGCTGCCATTCATCCCTGTGCTTTCAGAAATGAATTCTCAGAATGAAAACCCCCACTTGTCTCCTAAGACCCTGAAGTAGCCTCCCTATCCATTTGTGTTACAAGGATGGGGGTAAAAGCGAAGGCTGTGCCTTAGGCAGACCCTTCCCCTGTACACCGAGTGTTGGGAGCACAGCAGGGGCAGCCCCGCCCCAGCCCCAGCTCCTTGACGTTTCTTAGCAGCAGAGTAGAAAGAGGGACATGGGCTTTCCTGAGGGTCTCGCTAGAGCAGACACTCTGCTGGAGACAATTGGCCACTCGCGTGAAACTGAGTCCTAGTGAACAGGCAGCTGTGACTCTTGTGGTTCAAGGCGAGTCTAGTGGTACCAGGGTCTTAATAAACAGGCCACATGTTCCTGCCAACCTGGGTGATATCAGCTGTGATCATACAGACACAGATGCAGTGAACTAGGCAGCCCTTCTGTGGTTGACGCAGTCCTCAGGCTGATCATGGCTTCAAGGGGGCCAAGGGAAGTGAAAACTCATCTGCTCAAAAGGGGCTATGGAGGCTGTTGGAGGGGAGGGAGGCGTAACCCACTGATCTGCAAGTGCCTATACGGCATGCCAGAGTTCAGGGCACACTGGTCTTACTGTTATTGTCACCTTCCGTTTCCAACATGTGCAAACACTCCCTAACTTCTCACAGTCCTGCACTGAGCTAGGTAATATCATCTCCGCCCTGCCTAATCCACACCTTGGCCCCCGCCAGACTAGGAGGCAGAGGCTCTGGGTGAGCCCTGGCTACCTGCTCAAGCTCAGAGGGATGCAGCGGGACACAAGTGACTCTAGCAATAGGGCTGAGGTGCCAGAGGCTAGTTTTCATAGACCCAGGTCAGGGAAAAAAAAAATCAGTTTGTCATAGATGTACTGAAGTTTGAGTTCTACCTGCAGGTGCCTTGGCAGGGTCAGACCAGATGATCTTATATGTCTTGTATAGTCCATAAACCAGAGGTTTCCCCATCCCTGCCCTAGGTCCTTCATGTCCATCCCTCTCCCAAGCCACATTGAGTGTTCCTGCAGACGAGCGCAGGTGGAAGCACCCCCAACCCCAACCCTCAAGAGCCCCCAACAAACTTCGAGCCTCCAGGGATCTGGTGTCCTCAGTCTTTGCCACAACCTTGTTCATCAGCTGTTCTTGCACGATTTTCAGTTTTTCCTTCTGTTGAAAACAGAGAGAAACCCGCGTGGTCTGCCACCCTCCAACCACAAGCTTTCCTTACCCTAGGGCCTTGGCTGCCTTCCAGCAAACAGGGCCTGATGTCTCTGTGAAAATCACGGCCATGACCACTAATAAGAGAAACAGATGCCCCCAAAGTTTGCATACTTCATCACATATCAGATCCCTAGGAGTGTCCACTGCTTGTTGGCTGCTAAGAGGCACAGGTGCAAAACCAAACTGTCCTTGCCTTTGAGATGCTTTGTCTGAAGGTACGGACCAGTGGACCCATATGCCAGTGAGTGCTATGACTAAGGAAGCACGGCATGGTGGGAGAGGGCAGGGTAAGGGGGGCGTCCCAGGGAACAGGCCTCAGTTGGACACAGGTCACTTACCCGGTTGGCCATTTCCAAAGACAAGAGTCTCCTCACGACATCATCCACTCTGTGGGAAAACCACAGCAGAGACAGGTGTGAGGGGAGGGGACCGGAACAGCAATGCTGCCTTCCTTTTAGTTTGAAAAAGATGACCGCGAATTCCTTCAGCTCAAGACAATCCATCTCTCTTGAGCTGGGGAAATTGTTTCCCAGGGATTTAGAGCCTGGCCCTGGCTCGCTGGACAGGGAACATGGAACGATGTGATGACTTATGGAAAACTGGGGCTGTTGGCTACAGCATTCTGCTCTTGTCCTAGGGAGGGTTCAGCAGAGAGTCCCATCTGCTTCAAGTCAAATTGCACAGGGGAGACCCAAGGCGAACAGCCTAGCTGAGCTGGAAGAGCCAGGTTCTGGTACCAGGCAGTCCTGGAAAAGAACCCAGCTCTGCCCCTGATGAAGCACTGGCAGCTTGGTAAGCTCTTAAGCTGGAGACAGTATTTCTTCCTTTTTAAGGTATTGGTAAGCACTGAGATATGACAGATTTCTACAAAGACTTGTGAGGTGTGTTAGATCCATGTTGTGGTGCAGGGTGCCACCAAGAGCAGGTGGTTGGGCCCCATAGTGCCACGGGCCAGTGCTGCCCACTCACCGCACACACAGGATCTCTATAGCTCTCTGCCTCATTCTTCAAGCAAGTTCCGAATAGGGCAGCTCAAGCCTGGAAGCCACCCCTCCGCCCCCTCCTTTCTCCCAGGGAACCACCATCCCCGCCCCAAGTAGGTTTTGTTTTGCTTACTTGTCCATCCCAGGAACGTTCTGGTAGTCTTTAAGCAGTGTGGAGGGGGGTGGGTCATTGTCTTGGATGGGCTGGACTGTCCAGTGCAAGGATGGAAAACACGCAGTCAGTTCTCACAAGCCAGCCTTCCTCCCATGCTCTAACCTGTTCAGGGATACCTAGGGCCTTAAGCCAAGCACTGGGCATCTCTGGGCACACTTGTTCCTCTCCAAACCCTAACCTGCCCTGATATGTCTTCCTAGGAGGAGATGGCCTTTTCTAAGCCCATCCACTCTGCCTGTACCTGTCACACACCTGGCTGGTTTTGGTTATCAGAATCCCCACGGGAATGGGTTCTCTTGCGTTGTGTCTGGAATCTCTCTGTGAATCTACCCCTACCCTCCCCGCACATCCCCGGATTGGCTGTATGAAAGGACTACGGGGATGGAAAAAGGACTGCTGCACTACAGCCCCAGCAGAGATGGCTGCCTTGGGGGGTGTGTGTGTGTGTGTGTGCATTCGCAACATCCCTCCTAGCAAGGATGGGGAGTCATCCACCTGTTCTTTCCTGTCGGACCCTGCACACAATCCTGACAGCGACACACTACAGTCCGCTGGGGGTGGTCCTGAGGTCCCCACAATAATCCTCCCAGACGGCTCCTTCCACACTCCAGTTAGAAATGAGACTGAGAGAGAGAAGTAACTCGCACCCCCCCCCCGCCCCCATCACCCTCCTAGGAAACGGGTCTTCACCACCACCCAACATGCCCGGAGTAGGAAACCAACCCCTACATCCCAGAAGGAGCCACAAAACGCTATTAGGTCTGGGCTGGCCAGCTGCGCTCTCCACTCGGAGCCCCTTGGAGAGCTCCGGCCGCCTTTCTCACCGTCCGTACCCTTTCCCTGGCAGGCTCCCCGGTGATGAGGGGCGGGCGTCTTACTGGTAAGGACCTCTAGTGGACCCCTTTGCTCCCTCATGCAGTGAAGTGGCCCTAACTGGCCATCTCTGGGCTACCGCCCCAACTCCCACCCTGGGACCTCCTACCTGGTTTCTGGCTGGCAAGACCGCGGGCGGTCTGGAGGAGGAGACCTAGGCAGGAGAGAGAGGGAGAGACCCGATAAGTAGTCCAGCTTCTAATCCTCCCTGATATGGTGGTGGCCCCGCACTTCTCCCCTCAGTCTCTGCCGAACCCCTCACCCCTGCCGTCCCATCTCTCAGCTCCTCACTTGGAGGTCGCAGGCCCCGCGGATGCAAGGGCAGCCTGGCGCTCCCACCACTCGGCAGCTCCAAGACGGAGGTCTGCGCCGCTGCTCGGGGTCGGACGGACCTCAGCGTCCTGCACGCGGCTCTCAGCATGGTGCAGTCTGACCCCGCGGAGCGGACCCGGCTTACGCGGGCGCCGCCATACTGCTTCAGGCTCGACCAATCGAGGCACTTGCGAGGACAGAGCAGAGGCGGTCGGGGAATGGATCGGTGGGCGGGGCCGCGTGATGCGGGCTAGCTGGCGTGCGTGCCAGATCGTGAGGGCGTGCTCGTTGGCTGGTTTGTACAGGTGTGTGGTGCTCTTTGAGTTCTAAAATGTCGCTTTTCGGCTACGTTGCTCTGCGTTCTTGACCGGGGGCGTCTGAGGCTTGCGTGGAGCTTGCCGAATCTTTCTGCCCTCCGGCTCAGGATCTGCACCCCTAACTTACCTGTGAGGGCTCCTGGACTTTAACCTCCTTTCTTCCTGGTAGCCTGGTACCCTAGAGACCGAGATTGCACATTTTGGACTCGGCTCTGGGCTTGGACAGCTGTTTCCTGCCTGTGCCTCTTCCGGGCCTTCTTACATCCCGTGGGGATGGTAGTAAAAGAATCGGTCGTTTAGGTTGTTGAGAGCATTTGCTGAGGCAGTGGTGCGCAGAGCACGTGGGGTTTAGGAGGCAGGCTGTAAGTATTTGTCCTGGGCATATTTGTGAAATGAGTGCAAAAGTAGGAAAAAGTTGTAATTCTCCCTGGTGCAAAAAGGGGAAAAACTCTCCCTTAACTTTCTCAGAGCATTTACTTGATTGTGAACTCTTTAAAAAATATTTATTTTTATTGGAAAGGCAATTTTACAGAGAGATGGAGAGACACAGAGAAAGATCTTCCATCCATGGCTTCTCTCCCCAAATGTCTACAATGGCCACAACTGAGCCGATCCAAAGCCAGGAGCCAGGAGCTTCTTCCAGGTCTCCCACGCAGGTACAGGGTTCCAAAGCCTTGGGCCGCCTTCGATTGTTTGCCCAGGCTACAAGCAGGGTGTTGGATGGGAAATGGAGCAGCTGGGACATGAACTAGCACCTATGTGGAATGCTGTCATTGGCAGGTAGAGGATTAGCTAGTTGAGCCATCACACCAGTCTGACTGTCTGTCTGTCTGTCTGTCTCTCTCTCAGTTATTATTTGATGGACAGAGTGAGGAGGCTGGTGCAGTGGCTCAACAGGCGAATCCTTTGCCTTGCAGTGCCAGCATTCTAGTTCTGGCTTCCACTTCTTTTAAAAAAATTTTTTTAAAAAGATTTACTTATTTTTATTGCAAAGTCAGATATTGCAGAGTCAGAGTATTGCAATATTTTTTTGCAAACTCAGAGAGGAGAAGAGACAGGAAGGTCTTCTGTGCGTTGATTCACTCCCCAAGTGAGCGCAACACCAGGAGCTGGGTCAACACCAGGAGCCAGGAGCTCTTCCGGGTCTCCCACATGAATGCAGGGTCCCAAGGCTTTGGGCCGTCCTTGACTGCTTTCCCAGACCACAAGTAGGGAGCTGGATGGGAAGTGGAGCTGCCGGGATTAGAACCAGCACCCATATGGTATCCTGGTGTGTTCAAGATGAGGACTTTAGCTGCTAGGCCATGGCGCCAGGCCCTGGCTTCCACTTCTGTTTCATTTTTTTGCTGATGCACCTGGGAAAGCAATACAGGATGGCTTGAGTTCTGGATTCCCTGCATCCACATGGGAGACCCAGAAGAGGCTCCTGATTCCTGGCTTCAGATAAGCTTAGGTTTGACTGTTGTAACCATTTGGGGAGTGAACTAGCAGATAGAAGATCCTCTCTCTCTCTGTAAATCTGCCTTTCAAAACAAAACAAAAAGCCTTAAAAAAGAAAGAAAGGCAGTGTGAGACAGAAAGAAGGAGCCACACAGAGAAAAGGAGATCTTCCAGCCTCTAGTTTACTACACAAATGGCTGCAACAACTGGGACTGGCCGGGTGATTACCAGGAGCCTGGAACTCCATCTGGCTCCTCCCACGTGGTTGCAGAGGTCCAAGCACTGGAGCCATCAAGTACTGCTTTACCAGGTACATTAGCAGTGAGCTGGGACTTGAACTGGAGCTCCAGTGTGGGATGCTGGCATCACAGGTGTCAGGTCTGAGGTCACCTCTGGCGAGGTTTCTTTGGCGAGATTTCCAACAGAACCACTGAACTCGGAACTCCAACCACGGGGAAAATCACAGGATCTGTGGTCTGACCAAGGAGTGCATGTGTCAGAAATGGGTCTAATCAGCTGTTGAAGCCTGTGCAGCAGATGGCATGACCAGATGGCACATTGGGGACAAGACAGATCATTGAGGCCTGCAGAGGATGTCTAGTACCATGGAGGGCAGAACAAATTGAACAGCTCCTCCTGGCCAACTTTGATAACGAGTTATCTGGGCAAGTGGAAACTCTAAGGTGGACCATGTCAGCCAGTGGACCTTGGAAGGGTCTCTTCAGCCTTGGAGCAACAAAATCAAGAGCTCTCAAACTATCAAAACCACCTAAGCTGTATCTTGGGAAGATATCGGGTGGCCATTCCCCATCCCTGGCTAGTAATGTGGTTTGGCTGCTGGGAGTGGCCTTCTCTCCACTTTCCCCAGATACAGGAAGAAGAAAGGAGATTGGAAACAGTTGTCTTATCCACTTTCCCCCATTCCTCAACTCTCCCCACCCTAATCTGTGGTCTACATGGGCATGAAAACTTTTTAACTATATAAACATCATCAAAAATAAATTTATTTTAAAAAAAAGAAGAAAAACATGTCTTGAAACATTACAGTGCAGTGAGGGGAGGGCGGAGCAACTCAACCAAGGAGTTGCAATCAACCAGTAAATCAGCCTCTGCCACCATGTCTTTATGATCAGTTTCAGGTCAGTCCCCCAAGCTCCAAGTTAGGATGGGAGCCTTCTTAGAACCCTACTTGGCAACACAGTGCCTAGATGTCAGATGTGAGCCGGCTGAATGAATAAATGATTAGATGAACACATTAACAATTCTAAGAATTATTTCTTTGACCATTAGAGTCTAGAAAAAAAGAAAAGGAAAAAGCGGTGATTTTTCTAACAACAATAACAAACCAAAATCAGCTTAATACATGGAAATGATAAAAACCAAACACGAGAGATGTATGGAAGAGGACTGGATGAAGCACTGTCTGGCCCTTAAACATATGCAGGTTGGGTGGGAGGACTAGGAACCTTCCCGTCCCTCCTGACCCTGGTGTGGTTTTGAGTGACGGCCCTACTGGTGTTTCTGCTCCTGCTTGGAGAGGTAGGTATAGGTGAGGAGGCTCTAGAAGGCTCCCAGTTCTTCGACTCCATGCACTCGGATTCCCTGCAGGAGAGGGAAGTCCAGCAGTGGCCCAAAGACACAGTTATCTTCCTGGTCTGGGGGTGGGGATCCTGGGCTCCCCAGAGGGCTGTTCTTGAACCAGACATTCTCATAGGACTTGGGGCTGGGAGTGAGATCCTCCAAGAGGGGTTGTGTGGAGTCACAGCGGAGGTAGTGCCCTGGCCCTGGGCCTGTGGGGCTGCCCAGCACCTGCCCATAGAAGACTTGGTCACTGGTGCTGGACAGGGGCTGGGGCTGGGTGGAAGCTGCTCTCGGGTCTCCCTGGAGCACATAGGCCTGGACTGGGGACGGGAGGCTGCAGGTCTCTGAGTCACCACTGGACTCCCAGGGCCCTGGTTTCTTCTCCTCCTCCTCCAGCACTGTGATCTTGGTGATGGTTGGCACGCCAGCGTCGAGAAGGCTGGGCAGCTGGAAGGACTCCTGGACACAAGGACATATGGTGAGGGCACAGCTCATGCCAGATGTCTGCACCAGTCTAAGACAGGGCACTTATGGGGATGTTCCTGCTTTTGTCCACAGAAACACAAAGTGTCATATGGACCAACCCCTGGCAGGTTCCTGATATGTGGACCCATGCAAGACATGCAGAAAACAGCACCGGGAATCTGTGATAGGATGCTCCAGTTGATGGCTAGCACCTGCTTGTCGGGCTAATTGACAGCACGGACAGCACTGAAATGGAGTTACTGCGCCACCTCCCCCACCTCCTGTCATGCCATTCAAGTTAATTGACAGTGCAGAAATGGCTCTGGAGGCTTCACTCACGGCTCCTCCTGCCTCCTACTATGCTACTTTAGGTTAATGAATTACAGGAAAACTCCAGGCTCTGGAAGTTCCCTTCTGCCTCCTGCCACATAGTTAATTGATTGTATGAAAACTTTGTCCTGTGGCTCTCAAGCTGATGGGAGGATGAGAGCTTAAAACTCCGGACTTCCATGGTGCGGTCCAGTGGCTCCTGGAGTGTAGCAGGAGCTGCTATCACCAAGTCTGGCCAAAAAGACTCCTCTTAACAGCCTATACTTATGTCCAATGTGATCTCTCTCACACTCTGCAGCAAATCTTCCCATTTCACAGGGGGTGACTGAAGCTTTGAGGTTTCCAACTAGGCCTGCATCATCCAGAAGGATGGGAGGAGAAGACTGTGTACTCATTCTCACTCTGAGACTGGGCCAACACCCCCCAGCTCCATCTTCCTCCCCCTTCCACGGTTCTCACCTCGGCCGTGACAGTGGGCACCCAGGAGCCCAGGCTGCTATGGGCTGGGTCTGGCACGCTTGGCCAGAGTGGATTCTTCCTGCTAGAAAAGGAGGTAAGTGCAGGCTAGTCTGGCATGTCCTCCTCTTCCATTCTCTGTCCCAGCCATCCCAACAGCTGGAGAGGTGCGGCTGCCCCTCCGTGCAGACAGATGGTGTGCAGGGGCTCTCAGTTTGATTCTGCAGTTTAGAGGATGGCTAGAAGGGACTGAGGCCAGCCTAGCCCAGCCTGCTGTACCCTCTGGGCAGGAGTAGCTGGGGGTCAGGACTCTCTGAAGGACTCACCCGGGACTGCAGCAGACCCAGGCAGTCCTGCAGAGGCATATGAGCAAGACCATGGTGCCAGACAGGCCCAGAAGGATGTATATCTCAGATTCCCCTGGGATGAAGGAAAGCCAGAAGAGGTTATAGTACACATGGGTGTAAGGCTGGGTCTTTTCCCTGAGACTGGGATCCTTGGACAGGGTTGGGTTTCCTCTCTCAGAGCCAGGGTATCCAAAGACAGAATCTTATCTAATCTCCAAATTAGGAACCTAAAAGTGGGGAACCCTCCTGCCAGTTGTCTCTTCCCAGTTGCCCCAACCCTTTGCAACTTACCTAGTGCCAAGGTCATCAGAGTGAGACTTGTGCTGTTGGTGGCTCCAGCCTGACTGGCAGCCATGAGGTGGATGTGATATAAAGTGGAGGGTTCCAGGTCGTGGAGGACAAAGTCACGGGCAGAGGCATTCAGAGTGGTGGCTGGAAGTGGGGGCATGGTGTGAGGCTTGGCCCAGAGGCCAAAGCTGTCTCCATGGTATTGAACATCCCTCTAGGCCTTTGGGATAAACTCACAGAAAGACTGGTCCTGAGTGTTGGTCCAGAAGATGGTATAATGGGTTAGGGGGCTCTTTCCTGGCTCAGGTGGCTCCGGCACCCACTCCAGCTGGGCCCATGTCCTGCCAATGTTTTTGAGCTGCAGCTCTGGGGCGCGAGAGGGGGCTGCAGGAAGAGAGAGGCAAGGGGGCTGAGGGTAATAGCCTGACCAGCTCCCTGTAGCTCCTGGAACACTGCAAAGAGGGCAAGGAAAGTAAGTGTAAGGGGACTCAGCTTCCCAGGGTTGGACTCTGAGTAAGCATCGGAGGCGAGAGCTGAACCTTGTCCCATTAAAACCTCAGTCCCTGGCTTTTCCCATGCCCAGATCACTGCTGATCTCCGCCATGCGCTCTCTGACCTGCTGC